CCACCACCGCCACCACGACGACGACGTTCGTGCTTTCCATGTCTATGCTGCGTTTGTGCTCGTGCATGCAGTAGGTTGTCGTTTAGGATTGGAGGTTAACAAGTTTGGCAGGGAGGATTAACAGTATGTAGTTTTTTCTTTCGGTTCGCCTTCTGCAGAAAACCTTACTGCAAGGGTAATTATATATCCGTAGTCCATAAATATATTGAGAGTAGAAGATCTTCCAAAACCGATTCCAAACATTCAGGCCCCTCTGTTGGATGCCCTGCGGTTCAAGTCGACACTCGCTGCTGCCAAGTCTGGGAACATCACGAACCTTGTGCGTGAAAGTCTGGAAAGCCGCTCGGCGGCGAGCAGAAATTTGTCGATGCACACGCATGGATAGCTGCATCGATCGATGGAGGGAGAAGACGCTTAGACTGCGAGAGAAAGAGAGAGAGAGAGAGAAAGAGTGAGATAGAGAGAGCTACGTTCTGTAACAAAGATGTGCTGGTAGCCCGATGAATTCAGGGTCTTTGTGCTGGTTCGCTGTTTCGATCTTCAGGTGGATCTCCCGGCGGACTCATTCTGTAATGTGTACTTCGCGGCTGTTTGTCGTACTGCTGGGGAACAATTGGGATCTTGTTAGGTTCAATATGTATCTCGATATTGCCGGATTTTCTGCATCAAATCCTTCCACCGCCCCCCAAAAAGAGGGGGCTCTCGTGGCTCGTCCCGCATGCCCTGAAGAAGAGAGAGACAGAGAGGAAAGCGCAAGTCTTGATTCACAGGTACCTACAAGTTCGTGAAATTTCGAAAGAGTATGCCTTGTACAGGGACCCAAGAAGGTTTCCTGACACCCTCCCCCAAAATAGTGCGCCCGGTCACAGCAGGGCGGCTGGCGGTACACATAAGTTCCACTTCCTTCCCACACTCTTCCACCCTAGGAGGCAAAGGCGCTAAGCTCTGATGTTCAGGCCTGGCGCCTCCACGCCTCACCCCTCGCGAACAGGTCCGATATGCAAGATCGATTTCAAGTTAAGTTTCGGGTTTCGGGTTCGGACGTTTAGGGTGTATGGTAAAGATTCAGAACTTTGGGTTTAGGTCTCCAGGTTTCTTTTTCAGACGGAACCCTGGAATTGTTTGTTTTGGGTTTGCTGGTGAATGCACGAATAGTTACATAGGTCGGACATGTCGGTGCATTGGTGCACTGAGGGAAGGAGTTTGTGGTGTTTAATCGCATCTAGGCTTGCGTGCATCTCGAACTCACTCGGCGAATGGTTAGGTTCCGTGTAGACTGATCAGCCCATTAGCTGCATCGGGGTCACTTGATATTCGAAGACGGCGATCTGGGCGCTCAATTTGTGGCCGGGGCACAACCACTGCAACGACGAGGACGGCAGGAGGAGCACAAGATAAGGAGGACAAGAAGGACAAGGACGGGGGCGAGAATGAAGAGGAGGCGGAGGAGGAGGAGGAGGAGGAGGAGGAGGAGGAGGAGGACAACATCAACACCAACAACGCCGCCGCCACCACTGCAGCAACAACGGTAGCATCAGCAGCAGCTCAGCAGCAGCAACCGCAACAGCTGCAACAACAGCGCCACCAAGAGCAGGTCCTCCATCTCTCCCCCTCCTCCTCCTCCTCCTCCTCCTCCTCTTACTACTACAACAACAACTACTACCACCACGACTGCTGCTGCTGCTGCTACTGCTGCTGCGCGGCCACGACCGACTACGACTGCGACTGTGAATCTGGCTGCGGATGACTTCTCCTGCTGCTGCTGCTGCTGCTACGACTACGACGATGCTGCCGTCGAGTGCTTAGGTTTAGCAATCAAGACAATGCTAAACCCTCGCGCACTGGGGCTCTAAACCCCAAGCCCTAAACCCTAAATGCTGAAGCCCTAAAACTCTAAAGTGCAACCCCGAAAGCCCAAAACCTTGCTGCTTATGACAGGCTGGGGTGCTGCATCTGCTCGGCCAACACCAGCACCTGCGCTTTCGGGGGGCTGGCCACCGCCGTCTGAGTCGCCGCAGCTGAAGTACGTTCTTATTATAGTTCCCCACGAAACTACTACTAGTATGTTTCGTAAGTTCAGCCGTAGTTCCTTTTGGGGATTGATATTTAGAATCTTATAAGGTAAACTACTACTAAAAACAAAGCCTCACAACCCCATTATAATTGCTAAAGAGGCCCCTAGACAAAAATCTTGTACAAGCCTTGTAGAACCCCTCAACGGGGCCCTATTCTAATTTCATAGAAGCCCTTAGAGACAGAGAGAGAAACAGAGAGAGAAAGAGAGAGAGAGAGAGAGGGAGAGAGGGAGAGCCTTTCAAGGATCCCACAAACCCTACCTGCAACCGAAGAAGACCTACCTTTTTGTTGAGGAACTTTATATATAGAAACCGTAAGAAGGAGCCCTAAGAAGGTAGGTCTTTTCGGCTACAGGTAGTCTACTCCCCAAAGTCCTAGCCCTTTACCTGATGGCCCCCATGTCTGGTCTCGGGGTTGGGGGTGAGGTTTCGGTTTGGGACCTGAGGGCATGTTTAGGAGTTTAGGGTTAAGGCTTTAAGCGCTTAGGGTGTGGGGTTGAGGAGTTTATAGTTGTTTATGGTTTATGGTTTAGGGTTCAAGATCTCAGGCTGTTTTAAATGAGTTTAGGGTTTGGGGCAAAGGTTTGGGGTTCAGCGGTTCATCTTCGGGTCTCCGGTTGAGACTTTGTTTTATAGCAAGATCCTAGCCAGAAAGCACGCCCCAACAAGATTGTGAAGTTTACGCCACCGCTTCTGTAAAGCTGCCATAAGGCCTTGTAGAACCCCAAAGTGCGCTTACACGTTCCTTAGCTTGAA